GGGCCGACAGAAAAATCTGTCGCAAAACCGTCGATTGGCCACCAGTAATTAGGTGGCCGATTGTAGGTGCGTTTCCTTCTGGCTGATTATAAGTTCTAATACCACCTCTTTCAGGTTTTCAAGCGGAATTAGTGCGTTCACGTATTTGTACTTGGCTACGTCCTTTGTGGCGCAAACGACTAGTCAATTTCAGGGCAAGTAAATGTGATATGTGTCTGAGAAGCTCGAATCCCTACTTCCGGGATCTAATTTTCGGACCAAATCTGCCCTCGTGAAAAAAGTCGATAGAAGGCTTTGATTTCGGAAGATTGAAACTATACGAGTGAATAGTGCCGAAAATCCTGATAAGGACTGTTCGCAAAAAAACTGATACGAGGGCGAGCTAGTCGGCGCAAGCTGCAATCAGCACTTCTCGATAGGCTGAAGCTCTTATCGTAACCAATACCTTTTTTGGACTGTTCCTCTTACGATGTGAGAAGGCTTTTTGCTTAGAAGATTCAATTCAAAAGCTCTTGTTGTTACTGTTCCATTGTTCCATTTTTTTGGTGGTACGGATGTGTCGCAAGACTTTGCATCTCCTAGCGACACGCTTAAGCGATGATTTCTTCAAATGAGCTTTTCAGTGCACAGTTTGAAGTTTGGATTCTGTCGCGCGTATATAAACGTTGGATTACAGTAATGTTCGCTTATATGCCAATAAAGCTGCCACTGAGCTTCTCGCCAACCACAAGCAGCGTCTTCTTCCTTGGGGAGCCCCTAATTCTCACACGGTAACTATATGGGAAGCACCACGAAAAAACCTAATGGGTATTGCCTTCGCCCAACCGGTTGCCCGAACAGGCGTCTCGTAATGAGGCTAGTCTTGAGGACGGTGTCAGTTTTAGAGGGAAGTTCGTGGCCGTACCGTCGGAGACATGTCCCTCGCATTTCGTCAGCTATGGGCTATACCGAACTTCTCATGACGCTCGCCATCCAAAACTGTCGGACTTCCCATTCGATAGGAGGAGGAGGCACTAAAACCGGGTCCAACTAGCTTGATAAGACAACGTGTGGTATCTCCTGTTACAATCCCTATTTGGGCCCTTATTTGATAATTTCTTTGGTTCGAATAGCACCTCACAACTTATTTATTTGAATGTCCTCGTTTCGCATATCGTCTTTATATTTTGGAATATCTCGTGTGAAAGGAAAAAGGAGTTGCACCAAGAAAGCAGAAATGTCGAGTGGTTCGGGCGACAATAAGAAGAATGTCGCTGAGATAGAAGAGGTAAGAGGTTCCAATTGAATCAAATTTGAAATATCAAAAATGTGCTTGAGAACTAGCTATGTATCTATGTATTACTATTTATATGTTTCCTATTCATGGCATGATTTATATCTGAAACTGGAGAGACTGGCGAATTGCCGAGGGAATCCTGCTCATAAATCTCCCCATTGAAGGAATCTCGCTGATGGTGAGGGTGTAGCACGCAACGGTGAGGTGTAAACAACTCGACTTCATTTGACCTTCAAGGAGACGGAGGTGGTGCAGCGGCAGGGGGCTCGCTAACCACACGCACTTTCTGTGATCTTCCTGGAACGGCCTTAGTGCAACCAAGCTTCCTACCCCTGGGACGGTAAATTGGTACCAGATATTTTTGGGTGGATAAGAACACAGAACACGTTATCCCGCAAGTCATTGTTTGCTACATCGCATTCAACAAGCCACTACGATTTTCAATGGAAATAAAATGTATACAGCATCCCGCAAAGGGATTGGTCAGCGCCCATCAGTAATCATCTTCCCACGGTTGTTCCTGGGGACGCTATACTGTGCTTTCTCGTACAGTGTAGCCCCCTCCCCGGGAAACTACCCTCGTCATCCGGGCAGTTGATTAGGGCGGTCGTCAACGGGCCGCAGCGCGTGCCAGGAACTATTTGCTTTTTCCAGGCTAATTTAGTCATTTTTTCCACCTTGTGAAGATAAGGAACTGCTAATCTTGGAAAAAGCAGCCAAAACAGTGAAAAGTTGCAAAAAAGTGACGTAAATTAGAGCCTGGCAAAGAGCAAATAGGTTCTTGGGCAGCGCCGCGCGGCAACGTTGCACGAAACCGCCCTAATCAACTGCTCGGGATGACTAGGGCATAAGGGCTCCATCTCGTGGTAGAGTGTGGGGGACGGCCTCTGTAGGGATGTAATCATGATGGGTCGACCTTCGTTCTTTTCTCGTGGACCCCTGGGTCTTTCGGTCCTCACCACTGACAATCACCCCCATGACCTCACCATAATACATAACAACCATAGTAACTATCATAGCTATCATGCAAACAGCAAAGACCTTACCAACACTTTGTCGGGCGCCCTTCCTCGGACGTTCCCAAGCTCCAACACATATGAACATCTACTTTTGATCAACTCTCACGCGAATGAACTTATTCCAATCTAATTCCTCACAGCCTCCTGCCTGGGTTGCGCAGACCACGCATCTGCAATCGTTCGTACGAGGTTCACACCCGGTCTCAACTTCGACAGCCACGCTGGCTACCTGCTCCAAACAGCGCCGGACTGCCATGCTCTATGTGTTAATGGGATGGGCCTCACCCAGCGCTCCCCTGGACGGAGCAGTGTGCCTGATCAGGCTGCTGTATAGTGTACGAGGTGCCCTACAGTTAGCCCTGCAACTTAGCAGCGCAGAGTGCCCTCCCCTGGTAGGAAGCAAACTCGTAGGATGTCACAGATGCCAGAGGGGTTTAATTTAGAAGGAAGAAAATAAATGTTGCCGACGTGGTTTCTCTGTTAGTCTTCATTCATGACCCACAATATGAGCATCATATCCATTTTCATCTTCCCCCGTGCCCCTAGTTGCGAAACGTGCCTTTAAGTTCAGTTAACGTCATGCTACGTTCTACTCGCATCAAGTTACTGATAACGACTATTGATTAATGAAAAAGAAACAGAAAAACGTTTAAAATTTCCGTTTAAGGGAGAAACGTTGGATTAAGTTGAAATTCTCTCTATATAACGTCTAGCAGATTTTTCAGAGTTCTGGCCACAGCCGCCTTCTGCTCACCCAGCTGGCACAACTTCGTAACGACTCGTTGCTCTGTGATGTGACTCTGCTCGTCCAGGTAGTTCGCAAGATACACTTACTATAGATTGACCCGAAAGTCTCACATCAAACTCCTCTTCAAAAAATCAGAGCTTCTTACTGATAAACAGAATAAAGAATCACAAATGTCGTAATCATTACCCACTATATATAATTTGCTTCATTTGTTTACTTATCTGTTGGTTTATCCGGAAACTCGGTTCTTCCACAACAACTTGGAGAGGTGGATCAAGTCGGGATGGGTAGTGCATGTGACAAGATGTAAAGCAACCGTTACACCTCGTAAGCCCCGCCCAGTGAGGTGGGGCATGCGTCGGAAGTAGGCGGTCTCTCTGAAAAAATACATAGTTCGTCTAGCAATACCGGGTGAAGCAGAAGTGGATTAAGGTCAGCATAGGTTGACCGATCAACTGGAGGAGACACACCCGAAATGGGAGGGGCGTACTCAAGATGGGCGGTGCTTCTCACAAATGTCGGTAAATCCGGTCCTCGAGAGAATTCAGAGATCGCAAAAAGTCCGTGGCGAAGACAAACATCTGGCGAGAGTCCATCATACCTGCGCAGTGCGTGACTCCCCCTGTGTGGGAAAGGTATGGCCTCAAACGTAACATATTAATTGAAAGGTAATTCGGAGCACTACAGACAACGAGAAAATGTGGATTATGGTCGAAAGTGGCCCACGTTGAGAAGTGCAAGATACACCGTTGTAGGCGGAGCGTGCGACGAGGTGGACGGAGCCTGATTCAAAATTCCGCAAAACGCTTCCGGAACGCTCCAGACAGTGGGGAAAAAGTGAATTAATGTCAGTGGTGGATAACCGGTTAAGAAGTGCGAGGCACACCCGTTGTTGGTGGAAAGTGCATGGTGAGGGAGGAGCCAGGCGGGAAAATTCGCAGAGTGCATTAACGTCAGGATGAGTCACTTGTTGAGAAATAGAAGGCACACCCGTTGTGGGTGGAGCGTGAGGAGAGCTGGGAGGAGCCAGAAGTCAAAGACTCTGAAACGTTCTAGAGGACTCCAGACACCGGAAATAGACACACCAATTGTGATCGAAGAATTTGTCGAGGTGGGAGGGGCAAAAGTGAAAATTTCACAAGTCGCTTGCAGAGCAGCATATACACTAGATACATGTGAACTGAAAGTCACAGACTAGTGGATGAAATGCGGAGACATTCTCAAGATGTATCAATCAAAGTGACGTACTCGAGATGGGCGGTGCTTGCTAAGAAGTGTTATATTCATCGTATTGGGTTTATAAACATGTGGAAGAAGGTAAGCGCGGCAAAGCCGCACCCAAGCGGTGAAGCCGTTCTGTATCACAGAAGGAGGGACGCCGACGTCAATCGGCGAGCCCACTGGTACTCTAATAAATCAGTTTCAAACTAATGGTTATCAGAATTTAGGCCGCATAAACATCGTTTACGAACGCAGGTTGGGTGTGCGGTTGAGAAATTAGAATGAAAGCTTCATGATCCACTACTTATGTCCAATGTCTTACGTGACTATCAGTTTCTACAGTGGAAAACTCACACAAAAGAGAGCAAGAAAAGTGCAAAAACTTCGAATCACAAAGCACTGGGAGGGGTAGTCACCCCCATAAAACTGAAAAAATCGCGAACGGAAGGGATTTCCTCGCTGCTCTGCCAATCGTTTTCGGAACCAGAGCGGCCCCATTGTCAAAAACGATTCCCTTACAAACGACACCACTTCTCTCCATCGATGTTGTGCTCTGACGGGGTCAAATAAGAAAAGTCAGAAGTGCGGAAAACTTTCACAATGGTGATCGACATTTTTCTGAAAAAAAGGCGTTGTCACGTGGGGCGCATTGACAGGATATGAGGCAACACGACGTAATTTTCTTGCGCTTCAGAGAGGGCATCTGTGTGTTCCCAGCAGTATCCACTACAGTTTCATGGAACCAACCAAAGAAAGCGAGCTCTCTTTCTGTGTCCCTCTTGACTTGTTTAGAGATAGCTCGGTAAGTGGAAGCCGACTCCTCAGTCAAAGACAACATCCAGCTCTCATCTCATTCAGCAAGATGGCGGAAAGAGCCCAAGTGTAAGAGCGAAGGGCGGTACACATTTTCGAAGGAACTTTCAGCTGGACACGACTACCATCCCCGCCATCCCGCTCCACGAAGTTTCTCCCTCTATGCGACCCCTTTCTACTCCCCTCCTTTCTACTACCACTTACCACTAGCCTAACCTTGCCAAATTACCCCAAGATTTTGACGCCAAGTCTCCAGGAGGATGGGCAGGGGGGCGGGAGTGTGGGGGAAATGAAGTGAAAGCGGAAAAAATCAACTATCACGGAAAAATTTCGTGAGTAAACACGATCTTCCTCCCCCTCCGGCCTATTCAACCATTGCTATTTTCGTCTTAGATGATGTGCTCTGTCATAGAAGCACTAGGCTGACACATAGCCATCACCGCCACCGGCTGCGAGTAGCCAGTGACTCACCTTTTCGCCCCTCGGTAGATCCGACATTGTTTTGGACTCGCTGGGACTGAAAGCCTAGTGAACTGTATCGTAGCGCGAAATCTTGAACAGAAAAAAATTAAATAATTTCTAGGTCGAGTATCTCGAGATACTAGTTGAGGTACATACCTTCCCGGACACTCTAGCATTTTGCGTTCCAACTTTTTATTCAGGTCTATTTCAGGGAACACGGATCAACGCCCATAAAAATGTACTCGCTGCATGCTCAGATTATTTCAAAGCCATGTTCACAAACGACAAGGCTGAAAAACACCTGCGTACGTTAATAACATCCTATATATGCCTGAAAACCCTATCGAAAACATCATGCAACGGTGTCCATCAGCATCGCACTGGTAGTGAACTAGAAAGCAACATGCGGGCTACACTATGCATGCTTTTCTTCGGAACAGGGCCGGTAACCCAGGACCATCCACGCATGAGATAGAAGCCCTGGTAATCCTGGGATGAACTGTTCTGAGATACGCCTCGCCCAGTTCTTGCGCATTCCTCTCGGACACAGATTTTGCAGTGTTCGTCTTACTACCGCTTTTAGGAGAAATGGAAGTTGTCGGTGTGGAAGCCTCTACTCTTGATGCTGTCGTTAGTTTCTGCTACTCTGGAAAGATCACAATCACCGAGGATAATTCACTGAGTATTCTGGCCGCAGCATGCTATTTTCAGTTGGACGAAATTCAGGTTCGTAAGACCGTAAAACTGATTCGCTGAAACGCTCGCGCCTTACTGAACGTAGAGCACTCTGCTTGCACGAAGCTAGAAGTTACCTCTTTCCAAAACCTCCACGCGCGAGTCAAAAGCATTGCGCAATACAGAAGGTATCACAATCGACGCCAAATGTATAATAATAATTCCGACCAAGCTGTGTTCTCGAAGCTCACAGTAAATGGTAGGTTCCTCGTCCGCGATATGGTTTAAAAGTTGAAAATGTGGCGTCGGGAGGGTAGTGTGGTCCGCAATGAACAATGAACAACCTTGTACGAGTTTCGGGGCGAAAAATTGTGAGGGGCGCTATAGCGTAATACAGGTTGAAGGACGCCTCCTTTTTCCAGTGGCTCCGCCTCCAGACTCCACCTTCAAGAGCCGCCTTTCAGTGAGAAACGAAACTGCCGGACAAAAAAAATCATGAGAATCGTCACTTGTACGGTCGTAGAAATCTTATAGGTATATCTGATGTGCGGAGGGCGTGGTATTAGAGATGGAGTCATTGGACACGCAGGAATTGGGATCGACATGGGATTCTACCTAGGGCATTGACATTTTTTTGTGCGACTTTTTTTTCTTCAGTTATCGACTTACTCAAGCACCTCGCCCCATGTGCAAACCACTAATCCACTATCTGTGACGGGTAATCATCGCGTGCTTTGCCCTCAAGAAGATTCAAAATTGGAGCACACTCGAAGAATTACAAACCTGGGGCTTCACATCCATGAACCATTCTCTCCCTCAGAAGAAGCTCCTTTCTCAGAAAAGTTATAGCTGTTCAGAAATGGGTTCCACCTGAATTATTTTGAAAAGATATCGTGAAACAGCTCGCCTCAGTGCAACTGAGCAAAGGCTTTTATCCATGTGGCTTTTTTGTGGAAAGGTGGGGGGGGGTGGAACGAGCTCCAGCATCGGGAGGAGAGATTGAGCGGAACTTTATCGCAACACATATGGTGCGCCAACAGTGAGAATGTACCACATGGATGCTTCGTCCTGGATTTTTCATGGATCGCGCCTCCACCTCCCAACCTTCACTTCGAGAGGTATCCTGGTGGTTCGGTAGTTCCGCTACAAGTTCTCTCAATCTCGAGGTGATAAAGACGATGAACGTGCACCCACAAGGTGAATTCATCAGACCAATCCCTTTCTTCGCCACCCAAAAGCTCGCTCTGGAATGGGGGACCACATGGGGCATTTCTGGTCGATTCTTGGATTTTTTCTCCATGATTTTGTTTTTACCAATTTCGCCATTGGTGGTTATACCTCACAGCTCACCACTTTTGAGCGCGAGGCGCGGTTCCGAAGTTTCGGGGCTTGAAATA